GCTTGGAGGAGAACAAAGCTAGGGCCAACGACCTGAAGAACGAGGCTTCATTCCATTGCTTTTGTAGGATTGCTGGAATCATCGTCGGTTAATGGAGTTGACTTTTGCCGGTTCATGGAATCAGCTGTGAATCGACTCTTTTGCAACCGTTCAACCAAGTACGGTTGAACTAGCGCGGCAAAGATCACAAGACAAGAGACCCACGCGAAAAGGTGTCCGCGGATACGAATGAGCTAGCATACCTACATGCGCCAAGTCTTATATTAGGCCTATGCAGACCAATCGTCTATTCCGTAGCTTTTTATAGGATTTCTGGAATCATCGTCGGTTAATGGAGTCGATCTTTGCCGGTTTCTGGACTCAACTTGGCATCAACTCTTTTGCAACCGTTCAAGCAAGGACGGTTGAACTATATCGATGCAAAGATCACAAGACAGGAGCGAAAGGTGTCCGCAGATCCGAATGAGCCGACATATAATATATTATCCTGAGTCTTATCCTGAGTCTTATCCCATAGGCTGTCATTGAATGGAGGTGCGCCTGACAGTGTACGTTCGGATCAATCGAGGAGGCCCGATCCTTCGCAAAAGAAAAGGATAAACAACGCCGTGTCCAGGCAGATGAAACTGAAAGCAGTTTACCGGAAGCAGGCTGCCACTCGATGCCCAGTTCACCTGATCCACAAGATGTAAGAGGGAGCGCGCAAAATGGCATGGTCCAGATTCCTGCGCCGAATCTCGGGAAATCAATAGGAGAAGATCACTCCTGAACCAGTGTATGGGGTTCGAACATCGCCCTCTGTAACCGCGCTTCCTGAGGGCAAGAGGCAGCGTTAACGTTGCGGAGCTTGGTCCGATCCAGGTGGGAACTGGGCAGAAGGCAGAATGCAGAAGGCAGAGAGCACGAAGAACGCGGCCCGATAAAGAAGACAGTACAGTGGTAAGGAGTATGGGCAAGTTGGGGCAAGGGTGTGTGTCAACCCAGCCTTGATGGGCGCATCCGTTTTGTGAGAAATGGCATCCAAAATGGGACCCGCGTCGTACAATCTATCAACCCAACCCCAGTCTTACCATGGAGGAACAAATTGAAAATAAATTGGCTTTCAATGACAAGAAGCCGGTGACTTTCGATCCCAATATAACTCTAAAATCCAGCATTGCACTCGGATTTCGTATTTTTGTCAATAAACCGAGTAAAAACCCCGCAGATCAACTTCCCACAATGAATGCTGTCCCGAATCCTCAGCTAACTTTCTACATTGCCGGTGCATTCTGTATGAGTGATGATGGCGAACCATGTGCCGGTGGAGGTGTGAGGCTATCAGCTAGTCATCCAAAAAATCGCGCAATTGGTGTTCCATATAACTTAATTACTCAAACAAGCGGCGAGTTGGCATCAATAATATATGTAATACAAAATACTCCGCGAAACACCATCCTTAATTTCATACTGCAATCAAAACACACCGTTTACAAACTAACTCTTGGCCTACCACAATTGGAATCTAACGGTTGGACCGGTGACCGGGACAAGGTTTTATTAATGGCCCTTGTAGCTGCCTTGCGCATCAGAGGGACTCGAACAACCTTCCACCAATCCGAGGGTGGAAATGGAAGTCTGGGATTAAAATCAGCGCAAGACTTGGCCCGGGCTGCAATGTCGAACGACCCGGATGAATATATCATTGACCCTGATACTCTCCTCACAGAGGTATCATCACGATACCAACTACAGGGTGTCAGTATTGCAAATACCTCTCAAGCAACATTTTACGCCGCTATTCGAGCCACACACTCAACCCCAGTACGAATGAAAACAATTCAACATTGCAAACGGGGTATAGTGCCCACTGCTCAAATGTTGGAATTTTTCGCCAATATTTGCCGCATTTATAAGTTTGGTGCAGGCTCTTCCATAGAAAGTTACGGATTTTGCGACCAATATCCTTGTGCCTTATTGACCTCCAGATATCTTCGTCTGTCGGGGTTTTGCCACACTGTGCTTGTATCGCATACCGAATTTTGTCCAGCATAATGTGGAACACATTCTTCTAGAATGTAGCGCTCCAGGTCAAGAATTAATTTGGAACCTATGTCGCGAACCCTGGAAAATGAAGTACCCCGCAATGCCAGACCTCTCTATTGGTCTCATTTTTTTGGATGCAGACTGACAGAAATAAAAAAATTCGAAAGGGAAGAGAGTGGCAGAGGTTAACAGACTCTTCAAAATACTAGTCAGCGAATCGGCGTTCCTCATATGGAAGTTTCGGTGTGACAGGCTCATGTCGCGCAAATCTTACCATAGAACACTCTAACTTGTGGCCACAAATATGTTTGACAAATATCAGGTTTTGAATAATCGGCTCCAAAATCCACGACCTGGTTCAGTGCAAAATAAAGCTCTGCGCGATGGTTGAAATTTTGAAGATAAGAGATGACAACAATTGGATCGATTGAGAGATTGAAGCGAAAAAAAGGTCGTCTTGATTAACATGGCTCGGGCCCGACTCGAACGGGCTATTTCTACAGACAATTCGCCAGCTTGTCATGTATTGTAGGTGTGGTCCATCCATGACCGAGGCAATATGTTTCTACTCGTGACCTCAGATATGTTTGAATACGCTAGGGGTTGAATCAGGACAAAATTCATAACCTGGTCCGGTAAGAAGTAAAGTTGCGAAATTTTGAAGATACGAATGACAGTTGCATCGCTCATCTCACAGATCAGAAATTGAGAGAGAGAGAAAAGCAAATCCCTTCAAGATATGGCTCAGACCCGAATTGAACGAGCTCTCCTACAAATTCTGGTCTTCTTTGACATGTATAGGTGTGGACCATCCACCACCGAGCCTTCCTCCACCTCCGTATCAGCTTGAATGTATACAGGAAATATTGAGGATTTTTGAACTGGTTCAATTCCTTCACAGGGTTCGTTGAAACAACTTACGGTGTTGGTGGCCATGGTTGCATGAATCATCATTTGTGTTTGAACCAAAAAGTTCGTAAACTTGATTTACATGGCTCGGGCCCGAGTCAAACGGGCTCTCCTACAAACTATTCTGCAACTAACATATATTGTAGGTGTGGACCATCCACCACCGAGCCTTTCTCAACCTATTTATCAGCTTGAATGTATGCAAGAAATTTGAACCCTAAAAGTGGTTCCATTTGGTTACAAGTCATTCGCAACATTGAGTGTGCTCTTCCCCGGGATCATTGCTGCCAAACTCAAAGAAAAAATATGCTTCGGCCTGTGGGTGTGTTGGGTTGATTTTGCTGATGAAAAAGTGAATCCCCCTCCCCGGTTATGGCCTCGGGCCCCAGTTGAACGGGCTTTCCTGCTCACAGTTTGTCCCTCACCGCATGGAGTGCACGTGTGGACCATCCACCACCGAGCCGATGTCTTGTGGCTGCGACTATAAGTATTTGAAACATGCCAGGTGTGAAATCAGTCCCAAAATCCTCGAACTGGTTCGGTAAGAAGTAAAGTTGCTGCCATGGTTGAAATTTTGAAGATACGAGTGGCAGTAATTGAGAGAGGGAAAAATTCAACCTTTCTGCACATGGCTCGGGCCCGAGTCCAACAGGCTTTTTCGGCATAGATGTCCAAGATAGCGGCATGGAGTGAAGTGTGGACCATCTACCACCGGCCGATATCTTTCCGCTTGTTCCTTATATATATTTGGCAAATGCCATACGTTGAATCAGTCCAAATATCCACGTTGAACCTGGTTCCGTAAGAAGTAGAGTTGCAGCCTGCGTTGAAGTTCTGAGGAGATAGTATTGACAGTTGCAATAATTACTCATCCCGCAGACTAGAAATGCAGAGCGAGCACAAAAAAAAAACGAAGATTTCCGAGATATGGCTCGGGCCCGAGTCGAACGAGCTTTTCCTGCACAAATAGCGGCATGGAGTGCAGGTGTGGTCCATCCACTACCGAGCCGACATCTTTCCACTTGTGACCTCGAATATGTTTGAATATGCCAGGGGCTGAATCAGGACAAAATTCATAACCTGGTTCGGCAAGAAGTAAAGTTGCGAAATTTTGAAGATACGTGTGGCAGTTGCATCACTCATCTCACAGATCAGAAATTGAGAGGGAGAACAAAAAAAAACGAATCGCTTCCAGCTTATGGCTCGGGCTCGAATCGAACACGCTTTTCCTGCATAGATGTCCCAGATAGCGGCATGGAGTGCAAGTGTGGACCGTCCACCACCGAGCCGATATCCCTCTAACTTGTGGACTCAAACATGGTTGAAAAATACCATGGGTTGGATCAGTCCAAAAATCCACAACCTGGTTCATAAATAGTAAGTTCTAACTTTGGTTGGAAGTTTTGAAGATACAAGTGACAACTGCATCGCTCATCTCACAGATCAGAAATGGAGAGAGAAGACCACCAGAAAAAAAATCGAAACTTTACGGTACATGGCTCAGGCCCGAATCGAACGGGCTCTCCTACAAATAATAGTGCAAGCCACATCATGTATTGCAGGTGTGGACCATCCACCACTGAGCCTTCATCCACCTACTAAACGGCTTGAATGTACGCAGGAAATGTCGAGGATTTTTGAACTGGTTCAATTCCTTCACACGGTTCGTTGAAATAACTTACCGTATTAGTAGGTTGCATCATCAATTGTGTTTGAACCAAAAGTTCGCAAAATTGACTTGCATGGCTCGGGCCCGAATCGAACGGGTTCTCCCACACAGCATCATTCAAATGGCGGCATGCCACCACCGAGCCTTCCTCCACCTACTTCTAACCTTGAGTTTATTCATCCAAAAATCGCAATTAGTGTTTGTACATACTCGTCCTCACAGCACATCACAAATCACCAATAGATGCTCAAAATTACGATTCATGGCCGATACGCTGCATGGATTGTTACTTCAATTTAGGGACGGGCAGTTACATACAGTATGATCGCACCACGGCCAGTAGAGATGAGCAGGGTAATAACCCTGCTCAGAAATAGAAAATAAGAGTACCTTAACATGGCCCGGGCCTGGTTCGAACAGGCGACCTCCGCAGAAACCTTTCCCAACGGTTGCGCCAAAAGAAGCGGATGCATTACCACTCTGCCACCGAGCCGTAGAAATTGCAGTGACATGGGAATCCAAAGCTATTGAGGAAGACCATATGTTATAATAATTAATCCGGGAAAACCACCAAACACAGATTCAAAAGATGACGGCAGGAGCGAACGGATGCAGCATCGAGGGAGACGGTATTGGTAAAAGTGATGGAAATTTAATTACAGTAAACCCAACAAAAGTGTTGAATTGTTGGACATGGTTCAAACAGGCGACCTCCGCAACAGAGAATAATCAACAGTATCATAAGCAGACGCATTACGGCTCTGACAACCAACCATTACCTCTTTTACTTGAAAGAGCAGTGCCTACCTCATACAACATGCAAGGTAGGAGCACTAAATTTATTAGGGGGTATATTATACTCGCGTGGTCCACAGGCTGAACAACGATAGTGTCTGTCTATGAGAGACTACCTCAAGCCCACCTTCATCAGATACCTGGGATGTGTACCCAGTCCTCTCCCCCCTCTCCCTTCCTTCTTCTGTTTCCCTTCTCAGCTTCCCTTCCTATTCCTATAAAAGCCGGACCGACGCCGAAACCGACAACCCCGAAACGAGACAGGGGCTCCCGAAATCACGTCACAGACATCGCCTTTGTGGCGTGGCGTGTGCAATGTAGGGCCGGGCCAGCCTTGGTATGCAGATGTATGGCCGGGCGGCCCAGGCGCGCCCTGACAAATCTCTCCTCTCTCCTTTTCTCTTGTTTTCTGTGCCACTCGCTTTTGCTTTGCTCCGCGCGACTAAGACCGAAGTAAAAGACACAAACTAAGACTAAAGTAAAAGTACAAGACTTAGATGTCCCCGCGCTCGCCCCCAGACATGGCCACCTCGTTCGCCTCGTCCGCCTCGCCCTCGCCGATGTCGACCCCCGCATGCCTGTGGTTGGATTTCTCGTCCGTGACGGCGAGCACGGCTGGAAGCTCGCCTGCGACGTTGAGTCCGATGCCAGAGGAGGCAGATAAGGAGATGTTTCTGTTTTATTTTTGGAAAATTATGTGGTTTTGTGTATGATTCTCATAGTTTGTCAGCTCAATTCTGATCCATTCGCGGCTGGGCTTCACTCTCTATGACCTGGTGGTTAGCCACGCATTCCAGGACTTCACGCTTGAGAAGGATGTGGCTCGCAAGGGTTATCCTGGAACAGCACTCCTTTATGGCCAGATTAGTATCCCTGATTTCTATCTCCCATTGTTCGTCGTATTCGGTTACTTAGCTGTAGATACACGACTTTGTATTTATACTTCTCTGAATCTTGTATTCAATCCAGACTTGTTTTCACTGTTTCTTGTGCGTTCAACTTTCAACAATAACTCGCCTGCTACTATCCCACACCCTGGGCATCGAAATTCTTCGCTGGGCAGAATGGTCCAAAGCTAGAGTTCCAAGAGATGCTCGATTTTGCCGGTTCTGTCGCTTGGCGGCGGAAAGCGAAGGCCACGCGATGATTTCCAGTACGGCACCAGCTCTTGTCGCACTACGGTACGAGTTCTTGGCAGATGTTTACCATCTCATTCCACAGCTATCCCGCACTGCTTTTGCAACTCGTTCACCCATACCTACTTACCTACCTAACCACTAACCCTAACCGCTGACCCCAAATCGCTAACCCCTGACCGCTAACCCCTAGCCGCTAACCATAACTTTTACCTACAAGTTGAAACTTGATTATGTGTGGAGACAGGGAATGTTGAATCAAACTTAATACGGTTGCTAACGTGTGGTTTTCAGGGATGGTCCGCCACTTGGCAGCAGACACACACGAAGGTGGCGGGCGAGTGGATTGAATAAGTGGACAGATCGACAGTAAAAACGGATAGATTATGGATGGAAAGATCGGCGGATGGCGCTAACGGGAAGGTCGATGTGAGCAGACGGTGGGCGGGTAGGTATTCGATACAGTGTGGGTAGCGTGCGAGGGTAGATCAGCCTATTTCCGCCAAATAATCTTTCCTTGGGGGGGAGGAGGAGGAGGATTGCCTGTGCGGTGCCAAGAGATGTAAATCGGGTCCTTGAAGCTGACAGCGGGCTGTGCCGATTTTTATCGTTATACTGATTCTTACCCATTCCTAGTGTTGTTCCCAACGTTGTAGCGCAGTGATAGCAATCGGGCTTTTAATAAAGTACCCCCAAATCTCTGTTCGCTTTAGCGCCTGACTGTGGATCGCATAAAAGTGAAGGTCGTCCGATAGAAGGACATCCACCCCGCCCAACAAGACGCCGAAATGCAACTTGCTCTCTCTCTCTCCTCACTCTCGCCGCGTCGGGGATCCTCGGTGTTCTTGGCTCGCCAGCCCTCCAAACGTCCAACGTAACCACCCATCCCGTTGACGGCTTCACCCCATTCGATGTCCCCGAGTCGGTCGACGCCGCACCGGCACCCTTGGTCCCGCCCACAAGGACGCCGCGTCCGTGGTCGCTGCAAGCACCCAATATTGGGTCTGCGTCGCAGTATCCACCTCGAGTGGCCACTACGGGTGGTCCCGAGGCGGCTCAGAGTCCTCCGCCCTCCAAAATGCGAAGAAGCAATGCGGGAAGAGCGATTGCAAGTCCTACTCGTGCATAGAGGAGGGCTGTGTTGGCATCGACTTCGGCTCGACGTACGTGGCGCTGTCGTACGCGCGCGGGTATGGGAAAAACGATGGCAGCAAGGCGGCCAGTACAGCGTTGTCGACGTGCAAGAAGAAAAGTAAGGGGTGTGCGAAGGCGGGGTATTTCTGCGCCGCGCGGATATACTAGGTGAGCTCAGTCATTCCTCGTGAGGAAATTACTGCGATCGCTTACTTTGTTTTGCCGACATCTAGAGAGCGCACGGGTTGACGGGTCAGATGGGGGTACCATTAAATTTAGTGGATGCTCAGCAAGATGCCTGGAATGGAGTGAAGATGACGCATAAATGAGGACCTTTACGCGCCGTGCATTAGTTGAATGTCTTCAGAGTCTGTTGAACTTTGCTTCATTTCGGTGATTTGTACTTGTTCTCCAAGCGCGTGCTTGATATTCGAGATTTCCTCCTTCCATTTTCTCCCATGTAGTACTGAACTATTACAGCTGTTTGCAAAACTAATGACACTATCCAAAAATAGAATAAGAAGAACACTTTTGATAAGCCGACTTTCCGCGCTCGTTTCTTGCTGAATTCTAGTCGGATTTTGTTGAGTGGGATCGTTAGAAAGCGGGTAAACGAGGCTTTCATTCAGTATCATACGCACCAGGTACAGCCGTTTTGTGAATAATATACGGGTTTCGTAAATCTTTGATGCTCGTTTTGTGCTCACACCTGTTTGCCTGAGCGTCGTCGGTAAAGGCTGGCTCCACTCGTGCCGTGACTCCACACTTTCGCTGCACGAAAGATGCACTGTCCGTTGTGAATGAATTTGGACCTCCTAGTTCACTTATCTTGTCATAATGCATTGTTAATTCTAGCTCTGTGGGATTCAGCAGTGGTTGTAAAAGATAAAACGACTCGTGGAGTAAGTTACGGCATGCGGGGCCGGTGACGCGGCAATAAACAGAGGTAAGCACAAAACGAGCATCAACGATTTACGAAACCCGTATTCACAAAACGGCTGTAAATTGCCCAACTTGAATGTTCCAAAATTCCGACTGTCTGGTTTGAACCAAACGCGGCTACGGCCGTTTCTCCATCACCAGAGGGCCGGTTTGCATGAACCCGAGTGATTATGAAAGCTGTGATCAATACGCTGCTTTATGGTATATTATATTTTGGTTTACTTTACAGCTGTTTGCAAAACTAATGACACTCTCTAAAAATAAATGAAAAAGAGCAATTTTGAGGTGCCAGATTGTCGAGCTCGTTTCTCATCCAATTCCCAGCGGATTTTCTCGAGAGTAGGTGCGTTCGAAAGCGGGTAAGCGGGGCTTTCATACTTTACCCTACTCACCAGGTGAATTACGTAATTTCGATGTTTCAACATTCCGGCTGTCTGGTTTGAACCAGATGCGCCAACGGCCATTTCTCCATCACCTCTTGACCAAATTTCATGAATCCAGATGATTCTGAAAGTGTATATCTGGGCAACCCATATTCCACTGCTCTGGAATGAAACACACATGATAAGCACCCACACGAATGTATTTACTAATTACCACTGAATATTTATTCCTAGCCGGTTGCCTTGAGGATAAACCAAAATCTCAAATATCCGAGAGCTTTTCCCCGATTTCAGCTTTCATAATCGCCCGGATTCATCCCAATCGGCACTCTGGTCATGGAGAAACGGTGGTTGCCGCCTCTGGTTCAAACCAGACAGCCGGAATTTTGAAACATCGAAGTTACGTAATTTACCTGGTGAGTAGGGTATGGTATGAAAGCCCCGCTTACCCGCTTTCGAACGCGCCTACTCTCGGGAAAATCTGCTGAGAATTGGATGAGAAACGAGCTCGGCAATCTGGCACCTCAAAACTGCTCTTTTTTCATTTATTTTTAGAGAGTGTCATTAGTTTTGCAAACAGCTGTAAAGGCAACCTGATCAGAATGAATATTCAGTACCATTCAATAAATCCATTCTTGCGGGTGCCCATCATGTATGTTTCATTGCACCACCGCGGACTATTGGTTGCCTTGATGTAAGCCTTCAGAATCACCTGGATTTATGTAATCCAAACCACAGTTGATGATGAAAAGGCCGTCGCCGTATCTTGTTCAAACCAGACAGCCAGAATTTTGGGACATTCAAACAACGTGTTTCACTTCGCAAGTAGGTTATGGTATGAATGCCCCGCTTACCCGCTTGCGAATGCGCATACTCTCAACCCAATCCACTGAGAAACGAATGTGAAATGAGCTCGGCAATCTGTCGCATCAAAAATGCTTTCTTTTAACTATTTTTAGCAAATGTCATTAGTTTTGCAAACAGCTGTAAAATTAATTCGTCAAGGGGTGTGACGTGTGCCCCAAAGTTCCAATTCGTCAATTCGTCAAGGGAGCGCGAGCTGCGAGGACAACAACAACGCGGTGGGCATAGACGTCCGTGAGTCTCATATTGTCCGTTCTGGTATGGGTCTCCCTGCGTTGCGATTGACAGACGTTCGCCGTACAGCTAGCTGTTCAATACTATAAATTATAATTCGTTTTTGGCGTCGGTCACATCTCATTCCGGCCAACTCAACATCAAAGTCTGCGGTCATGCCTCGTTCCCGCCCGACACCTCGAGTATATTTGGCAAGACAATCAGTGGAAAAACCGCGCAGTGGTTCGTTAATGTTGCAGAAATTTTGAAGATAGGAGGGTCAGTGGTACATTTGAATCTCGCAGATCAGAAATTCAGGGACAGAAAAAAACGCAAACTTTCTCGCACATGGCTCGAGCCCGAGTCGAACGGGCTGCTCCTCCAGAAACCTAGGCCTCCCTTACGTTACAACGAGTGCAGCTGTGGACCATCCACCACCGAGCCTTTCTGATCCCACCTCTCAGCTTGAATGTATGCAAGGAATTAGAAGTCGAAAAATGGTTCCATTTGGCGTTAGAGGCATTCACAATCATCTTCGTTGTGCAGGAAAATCAAGGAGAAAATCTGCTTCGGCCTGTGTTTGTTGCGTCAATTTTGCTGATAAAAAAGTGAACCTCCCTCCCAAGTTATGGCCTCGGGCCCGAGTCGAACGAGCTTGTCCTGCTCACAGTTTGTTCTTCACCGCATGGAGTGCACGTGTGGACCATCAAACACCGAGCCGATATGTTCACATTTGTGACCTCAAATATGTTTGAATATCCCAGGTGTGAAATAAGTCCCAAAAACTTCGACCTGGTTTGGTACAAAGGAAGCGCAATCTGAGCTGGAATTTTGAAGATACGAGTGACATCTGCATCACTCATCTCCCACATCAGAAATTTAGAGAGAGAGAGAACAAAAAAACAAAAACAAAAACCATTTCCATCGCATGACTCGGGCCCGAATCGAACGGGCTACTCTACCAGAAACCTCGGTAGGTCCCACAATGAATGGAGGCGTGGACCATCCACCACCGAGCCGATATCCCTCTAACTTGTAATCTCGAACATGCTTAATGAATACCATGGCTGAATCAGTCCCAAAATTGCCAACCAGGTTCATACGAAGTAACTTTCGATCTTGGCTCAAAATTCTGAAGCTACAGTTGGAACGCTCATCTCGCAGATCAGAAATTGGACAAATTGGAGCAAAAAAAAAAAACGCGACCTTTCAGCACATGGCCCGGGCCCGAGTCGAACGGGTTCTCCTACAAACGATTCTGCATCCCAATATGTGTTGCAGGTGCGGACCATCCACCACCGGGCCGATATCTTTCAATCTGTGCTCACAAACATGGTTGAAAGATACCAGGCGTTTAATCAGTCCAGATGTTCATGATATGGCTTGGCACAAAAGAAGCTGCAATCTGAGTTGGAATTTTGAAGATACGAGTGACAATTGCATTACTCATCTCACAGATCAGAAATGGAAAGAAAAAACCAAACCGTTCGGCATATGACTCGGACCCGAATCAAACGGGCTCCCCTGTATACATCCATTCCGACCGTTCATGTTTTACCGGTGTGGACCATCCACCACCGAGCCTTCCTACACCTCCGTATCAGCTTGAATGTATGCAGAAAATATCGAGGATTTTTGAACTGGTTCAAGCCATTCACAGGGTTCGTTGAAACAATTTACGGCGTTGGTGGCCATGGGTTGCAGCATCATTTGTGTCTCAGAACCAAAAAATCCGCAACGCACGTCGTCATGGCTCAGGCCCGAATCGAACGGGCTACTCGATTTGGCAAGTTTTCATGTATTGCAGGTGTGGACCATCCACCACCGAGCCTTTCTCTTCCTACTTAATGGCTTGAATGTATGCAGAAAATGTCGAGGATTTTTGAGCTGGTTCAATTCCTTCACTGGGTTCGTTGAAATCACTTACGGTGTTGGTGGCCATGGTTGCATGAATCATTATTTGTGTTTGAACCAAAAAGTTCGAAAATTTGACCTGCATGGCTCGGGCCCGAATCGAACGAGCTTTCCTACAAACTATTCTGCAGCCAACATATATTGTGGACCATCCACCACCGAGCCGATATGTTTCTACTTATGACCTCAGATAAGTTTGAAAATGCCAGGGGTTGAATCGGGACAAAATAGGAGCGTCAATGGTACATTTGAATCTCGCAGATCAGAATTTTAGGGAGAAAAAAAACGAGGCTCTCCATCATATGGCTCGGGCCCGAATCGAACGAGCTCTCCTACAAATCTTGGTGTCCCTTCGTATGTATTACAGGTGTGGACCATCCACCACCGAGCCTTTCTCATCCTACTTAATGGCTTGAATGTATGCAGGAAATATCGAGGATTTTTGAACTGGTTCAATCCCTTCACAGGGTTCGTTGAAATAACTTACGGTGTTCGTGGCCATGGTTGCATGAACTATCATTTGTGTTTAAGAACCCAAAAAGTTCGCAAAAGAATTGATTTGCATGTACATGGCTCGGGCCCGAGTCGAACGGGTTCTCCCACAAACCATTTCGTAAATCAACCATAGATTGTAGGTGTGGACCATCCACCACCGAGCCTTCCTTCACCTCTTGAGTTTATTCATCTAAACTTGAAATCGGTGTTTGTACATACTCGTGCTCACAGCTCACTGCAAATCAGCTCAAAAATATCATTCATAGCCGATATGCCGCATGGATTGTTACTTGAATTTGGGACGGCCAGTTACATACAGTATGATTGCGCCACGGACAGTGGAGACGAGCAGGGTAATAACCGCAAAAAAAATGATGGTCCCTCAGCATGGCTCAGGCCTGGGTCGAACAGGCGACCCCCGCAACGGAGAATAATCAATAGTATCGTAAACGGATGCATTACCACTCTGCCACCGAGCCGTGATGAAGAAGTGGTAGTGACATGGGAAGCCGAAGCTCTCGTCCGGCATACCGGCGGGACTGTGCGGTGTAATGCTACTTACCTACCTACTGACCTGCTGGGAGAACCAAATAATGGACAGAACAAGGCACCAGTGAAATGGACGCCAGGCAGCCAGTGGGGCATCGAGGAACCGAAGACAGGGAGGAAATCCCCACCGAACACAAAAAGTGCCAAGCCAAAAAGCAACAATAGATAATGCTTATGGCTCGGGCCTGGTTCGAACAGGCCATCTCCGCAGAATCGATCTTCGTGTGCCTCAGAAGCAGCGGACGCATTACCACTCTGCCACCGAGCCACAATGAAGAAGACAGTGACATGGGAATATGAAGCAATAGGGGGAGAAGTGTTATTCCGGGAGAGAATGAATTCAATCAACAGAATAACCCAGTGAATAGATGCAGGCATCGAGCGGCATGGTGTGGGAGGGAAGGAAGTTTAAACCGAACAAAAAGTGGTTACAGACCGATGCAAAAAAATTACATCCATTTCACATGGCTCGAGCCTGATTCGAACAGGCGACCTCCGCAATAAAGATAACCGCACTCGATTATAAGCGGACACATTACCACTCTGCCACCGAGCCATTGATAATCTTGCTTGGTTGAGTGCCAGGTGCCCACCTTCATCACATACCTGAGATGCGTACCCAGTCCTCTCCCCCTCCTTTCCTTCCTCCGTTTCCCTTCTCCGCGTCCCTTCATTTTTCCCATGCTAAAAGCCGAAGCCGAAGCCGAAACCGACAACCCGAAATGAGACAGGGGCTCTTAAAAATCACGTCACAAACACAGCCTTTGTGACGTGGCGTGTGCAGGGCGTAGGCGCGTCCTGAAAAATCTCTCCTCTCTCCTTTTCTCTTGTTTCCTCTCTTGTCTCTTGTTTTCTGTGCCACTTGCTTTTGCTTTGCACCGCGCGACTAAAACCGAAGTAAAAGACACAAACGAAGACTAAAGTAAAGTAAAAGAATTAGATGTCCCCTCGCTTTGCCCTCGCTTGCCCCATGGCAACCCCATGGCATGGCCAGTGGCCGCCACCCCGCTCGCATCGTCCGCATCATCCTCGCCGATGCCGACCCCCGCATGCCTGTGGTCGGATTTCTCGTCTGTGCCGGCGAGCACGGCTGGAAGCTCGCCTCCGACGTCGAGATCGATGCCAGAGGAGGAAGATAAGGAGATGTTTCTCTTTTATTTATGTGGTTTTGTGTATTGATTCTCATAGTTTCTCAGCTCGATTCGTGGCTGGGCTTCTCTCTATGACCTGGTGGTTAGCCACGCATTCCAGGACTTGATGCTTGAGAAGGATGTGGTTCGCAAAGGTTATCCTGTAACAGCACTCCTTTTATGGCCAGATTAGTATCCCTGATTTCTATCTCCCATTGTTCGATGTATTCGGTTACTTAGCTGTAGATACACGACTTTGTATTTATACTTCTCTGAATCCTGTATTCAATCCAGACTTGGTGTTTTCACTGTTTCTTGTGACTTCGACTTTCAACATCAACTCGCCTGCTACTATCCCACACCCTGGGCATCGAAATTCTTTGCTGGGCAGAATGGTACAAAGTTAGAGTTCCAAGAGACGCTCGTTCTGTCGCTTGGCGGCGGAAAGCGAAAGCCACGCGATGATTTCCTGTACGGCACCAGCTCGTGTCGCACTACGGTACGTGTTCTTGGCAGATGTTTACCATCTCATTCCACAGCTATCCCGCACTGTTTCTGCAACTCGTTCACCTATACCTACCTACCTACCTAACCACTAACCCTAACCGCTGACCCCAAATCGCTAACCCCTAACCGCTAACCATAACTTTTATAATTACCTACAAGTTGAAACTTGATTATGTGTGGAGACAGGGAATGTTGAATCAAACTTAATACACTTGCTAACGTGTGGTTTTCAGGGATGGTCCGCCACATGGCAGCAGACACGCAGGTGGCGGCTGAGTGAATTGAATAAGTGGACAGATCAACAGTAAAAAACGGGTAGATTATGGATGGAAAGATCGGCGAGTGGCGCTAACGGGAGGGTCGATGAGAGCAGACGGTGGGCGGGTAGGTATTCGATACAGCGTGGGTAGCGTGCGAGGGCAGATCAGCCTCTCTCCGCCAAATAATCTTTCCTTGGGGAAGGAGGAGGAGGATTGCCTGTGCGGTGCTAAGAGACGTAAATCGGGTCCTTGAACCTGACAGCGGGCTGTGCCGATTTTTATCGTTATACTGATTCTTACCCATTCCTAGTGTTGTTCCCAACGTTGTAGCGCAGTGATAGCAATCGGGCTTTTACTAAATTACCCCAAAATCTCTGTTCGCTTTAGCGCCTGACTGTGGATCGCATAAAAGTAAAGGTCGTCCGATAGAAAGACATCCACCCCGCCCAACAAGACGCCGAAATGAAACTCGCTCTCTCTCTCCTCACTCTCGCCGCGTCGGGGATCCTCGGTGCTCTTGGCTCGCCAGCCCTCCAAACGTCCAACGCAACCATCCATCCCGTTGACGGTTTTCACCGCATTTGACGTCCCCGAGTCGGTCAACGCTGCACCGGCCCCTTGGTCCCCGCCCACAAGGACGCCGCGCCCGTGGTCGCTGCAAGCCTTGCTGCAAGCACCCATTATTGGGTCTGCGTCGCAGTATCCACCTCGAGTGGCCACTACGGGTGGTCCCGAGGCGGCTCAGAGTCCTCCGCCCTCCAAAATGCGAAGAAGCAATGCGGGAAGAGCGATTGCAAGTCCTACTCGTGCATAGAGGAGGGCTGTGTTGGCATCGACTTCGGCTCGACGTACGTGGCGCTGTCGTACGCGCGCGGGTATGGGAAAAACGATGGCAGCAAGGCGGCCAGTACAGCGTTGTCGACGTGCAAGAAGAAAAGTAAGGGGTGTGCGAAGGCGGGGTATTTCTGCGCCGCACGGATATACTAGGTGAGCTCAGTCATTCCTCGTGAGGGAATATACCGCGATCGCTTACTTTGTTTTGCCGACATCTAGAGAGCGCGCGGGTTGACGGGTCAGATGGGAGGGGGACCATTAAATTTAGTGGATGCTCAGCAAGATGCCTGGAATGGAGTGAAGATGACGCATAAATGAGGACCTTCACGCGCCGTGCATTAGTTGAATGTCCTCAGAGTCTGTTGAACTTTGCTTCATTTCGGTGTTTTGTAGTTGTTCTCCAAGCGCGTGCTTGGTATTCGAGATTTCCTCCTTCCATTTTTTCCCATGTACTATTAAAAGTAATTCGTCAAGGGTGTGACGCGTGCCCCAAAGTTCCAATTCGTCAATTCGTCAAGGGAGCGCGAGCTGCGAGGGCAACAACAAGCGGTGGGCATGGACGTCCGTGAGTCTCATATTGTCCGTTCTGGTATGGGTCTCCC